TTTTCCTTTTGTCTAACTCAGGTGTCGATATACCAGGTATTGCTTCCTCGACTTGAGTCACAAATTGGCTGTAAAATCACGTTATGTTATATATTTAATATTGAAAATATATATATATATATATATATTTTCTTATTCACAATGTTTTGATCAACAACTTGTTCTTGTTTTGTAGATTATCTTGGCAGTGGGCACAAAGCTTCAAGTTATCATCACAAAGATGGCTCTCGGGATATGGACTAAACAGATAATCATTCAAGAAATGCCATTTGTGAAAATCAGCGATGACTACTTTTGGTTTGGGTGTCAACAACTGATTCTCCATCTTCTCCATTTCTCACTGTTTCAGGTAGAAACATGAATAATCATACAACCACATGTTCTTTCCTTTTGTGATTAAAATTGTGTGTTTTCTGTTTTTGTAGAACGCGTTTCAGATAACCTATTACTTCTGGATATGGGTAACAAACAACTTAGATATCACTTTCCTTGAAGTTTGTTTTGTTACACAATGAATGACCAATTTACTCTGTTTTTATGCAACAGTATACTTTTCCCGAAAACTCTTGCTACCATCCACATTTAAAATTTGCACTTGTAAAAGTAGTGATAGTGTAAGAATTAACAATTTATAGAAATCAATATAATGATTTCATATTCATATAAAAATATAATCGTATCTATAATAATTATTAATCTCTTATAATGTATACTTTATAAATAGTTAGACTTTGAAGATTTGACATAGTATATTTAACGAAACATATGAGAATTTTGATTTAATTTTTTTTTGCATTTAAGTCAAATAATATAGTGACTAAGGTAAAATTATGATTGAAAATAATTCTATGATTGATTTTGGTTCATTTATTTTATGTTTTGTATTACTATTTAGAGATCAATAAAATATTTTGCAAAAAATATGTAAAAAATTAGGAAAATATTAGCAAAAATTTAATAAAAAGGATGAATGATGAAGCGAAAAATAAGAAGAGGTCAAAGAAGATGCATAATATGTGTTGGAGAAGTTAATGTAATAATTACATACATAATATAATTCCACAAGTATTTGTTATTACTAAATATTCATCAGTTATTTTTACGTCAAATTTATGGAAATTTTACGACTGATTATCAAGCTATTTGAAGTTAAAAATTAGGTTTTTAATGTTTCTGATTATTATTCAAAATTTATGACATTGTATATTTAGTTAAAAATTATGACATTGTATCAAGCTATTTGAAGTTAAAAATTAGGTTTTTAATGTTTCTGATTATTATTCAAAATTTATGACATTGTATATTTAGTATATATTTTCATACAATAATCACTAGATGATTTTCCCATGCTCATGCACGGAAATGTATATTTATAAAATAAATATACAATAATAATTAATTGATATTTACTTTAATTTTTAAATTAATTTATAGTTTTTATGTCTAATTTATATTATAATATTATATTACTTTAACTATATAAATAATTTTAGATATGTTATATTTAGTCTGTTTTATTGTTTTTACGGTCGATTTAGTTATCATTTAGATATATTGGATTCTATCTATTTCTCTGAATTCAACTATAATCTTTTATATTTTAAATATATTAAATTTTTGATTAATTGTCTTATTTGCATTTATGCTGGTTGTTGTTTTAGAAATATAAGTATATTTAGTAAGATTATATATAACTTAAGATTTTTTTATGCTTAGAAGGAAAAATAAATAGAAACTAAATTGTCTGATTCTAAATTACATACATAAGTAACTAATGAATTTTTAGAAGCTTTTGAACTCATATCAATATTTACAATAATTAAAATATTTTATAAATTCTAAATAAATTTATGCTTTAGATAGATTGGATGGTAAACTGAAATTTATTTTAAATAATTTTAAAAATAAGGATTCTAATTTGCTTAAGTATTTTAACTATGGTTATATTAAGTTTCACAAACATAAAAACAGAAAATTAATAATCAAAAGATTTATTAAGAAAACATATAATTTAACAATTAAAATATAATATATCTATCTCGTTAAATTATATAGTGCTATGGTATTTTAAAATAATTGTAGTTATTTTCTGTTTTTATGTTTGTGAAACTTAATATAACCATAATCAATATACTTAAGTAAATCAGAATCCTTATTCTTAAAACATATAATTTTAACTATTAAAATATAATATATCTACCTCGTTAAATTATATAGTGTTATGATATTTTAAAATAATTGTGGTTACTTGATCAAAAGATGTTTATTATTAAATCTATTTTTAGTTTTATTTTTAGCATCTCTTAAAATATTCAGTAAAAAATGACTGTTTTTGAGAAATTATACTATATAAGTAAAATAAAATTTATTTTTTACTGTAATTTTAAGATATTATAGTCAAACAAATTTACTAAAAAATAATTTCAATAATACTAATGATAAAAAATATCAATTAAACATATATCAGTTTATTTTAGTTGATTATATTATGTAATCATCTAATAAAATAGATAGATATATACAAAAATAATTATTTTGAAAATAAATAAATTTTATTGTTTAAAATTATATTTTTTTAAGAAAAAATATCTCTTTTTCTAATAGTAATATATTTTGTGTGAATTGTTTTTATGAAATCACACTATATACATATATTGTTTTTTTTTATCTAAGAAGATATAAATATAAAGTATTTTATTACTTCAAAGGTATATTTTATGTTATTTAAAATATATTTAAATTAAATATTACTATTTTGGGAACTTTCCTTTTTTTATTAAACCATATTATATATACTTATATTTTCGTTTTAAAATAGTTTTGTAAATTTTATAAATGTTTATTTTTTATTTTAAATTGTTATTTGGAAATTTTTAAAAAGGAAATAATATTTAACTGTATTTTAATTCATTAGGGGTATCATAGTAATCAACCAACGTGAGAGTTAACGTGAACGCGACACCTAAGAAAGTGATTTCTCAAATAATATTATAGAGATCCGCGAATGACAACCACCTAATACCAACTTATTTTTATAAGAATTCTCAAGAATCATTATCATGATAACACATGTCATGTTTCAAATGTTGTAATAGTTGTAGTTCTCTTTTAGTATATAGAGGATCAGAGTAAAAACTCTAATATGTGATTAATTCTCAATAATATATTAGTAAGATATGAAAGTAACAGAAAGTTAAAACTTGTGTAAAATGGGTTCTGCTCTTTGATTCTTAACTACATATGGTTTATTTTTAGTCTGTAGATTTCACAGAGGAGCTAGGTAACCCAGCTAACAACTGCCCTATTCTGCTAACTGACGCATTGTATATCAGAGGCTCCGAGGTTTTTGCACCATGAGACACCATCCCAATCTCGGAAATTGTTGTTTTCCGCTCTCTGAATGATGCCCAAGTGACCATATAGAGTCCTAAGATGATAAAAAAACCACCCACCACGCTGCATAGAGGAACAAATAAACCGAGTTAGAAAATCTTGGAAAGTGAAAACAATTGTGAAATGAGATCAAGAAGATGTCAAAAAAACGAAATGCATTGTTCCTGGAAGTGAAGATTCTAGAGAACGTGTTTCACCACCTTCCGAGATAAATAGGACTACCGAGAAAGATTCTCGATAGAAAAGCTGATGCAGCAGGCTGAAGAGGATTGTAGAGAGCAACCAAGGCGGGGCCAATAATCTTATTGGACCAAGTCAAGAGTCCATAGTTTAGTGCTGATGCGATAACTCCCTAAAGAAAAGATAAACCAAATGAGTGGTGTCACTGATCACAAGAGAGAAAGATCAAAAGAAAAAAAATATTGGTGCAGCTTACAGCATATATAACTGCAAGAACTTCAGATTGTGTAAGCCTCCAGTCTAATGGCTCCTTCACCATAAAGAAAGCTGTTGTGACCATTAATACTGTACCGAAGAAGTATGACAGTGCAGTAACTGAAAGATTTGCCGGATACTTCTTCAAGACCGGCGCCTGTGGAGTTTCCATTACATCCACATCAAATGAAATATGCAGAGAGTTTAGTGAAAGACATATGGGTTTGTCTAAACTTAATCAAAGAAACTGAAAACAATGACCTGAATGGCAAGAAAAGCAGCCATACACATGCAATTTCCAATCAAGCATAAAACACCAATGTGCCATTGCTCAAACCCAAAACCGATAAAGGCAGAGACTAACCACCCAGCAGGCGCAGCTTGACCTTTAGCACTCATTTCATGGTTCATTGCAAAGTCTGCATCTTCATCTCCTAGCAAAGCCGGACCTCGAAATAAAACCATAGATACGGCACCCATAACACACACAAGTGTTCCTCCAACCTTAGCTTGACCTTCGATTCTCAACAAATTCACTCTTTCTGTACTGCATACAAAGCAGGAGACAATAAAAAAAAAAGCTGAAAAGTGAAAGCACATCTAAGAGGAGGACTTCTTGACCAAAAAAAACTGTACTCACCCCATCATTACAGCCAAGATAAAGGTAAAAACCGGGATTGATGGTTGAATGGCAGCAGCATAAGTAGGATTTGTGTATGTAAGACCAATAAGAAACAACAATTGGTTGCCAAATACCCTATAAAATTGAGGATAACGCAGAGGTGGCATTATCAACATGGTAACTCTGACACAAACATGGTTGCAAGATACTGAGAGCAGAGAGAGAGAGATGGTTTTCTTAGTTCTTACCCCGCTAAGCCTAAAAAGAAGAATGACAAGAGAAGGCTTCTATTCATCGGAGTTCTGATCTTTCTACACAGACAAAAGATGAAACAATGTTCCTTGATTCTGTTTTGAATACTTAAAACATTCATCGCAACAATCCCTGCAAAGCTTGAGAGTTACAACCTCCCACTCTATTCATTCATTTCCTGATAGGTAATCAGGGGAACTATATTACAGTACTAGAGAGTTCGATTTACAAACCAGATCCTAATTTCAAATGTAGTTATCTAAAAGAGTCCAAAAGAGCTACTAAACAGTATTAGAACATGATCAACAAAGTGTTGGAGATAGACTTAGCACAAAGCCCATCAAAATGCTAGTATTTTAGTAATTGTGGACCTTATTTATTTACCTGATTATTAATACGAAAATATGTGGACCATTTATAACTCTAAAACTCGCAAGTAGCCAAAGCTTATCTACTAACAATGGATGGTAAACAGAACAAAACTCTCACTTGTCTCAGTTGTCTGATAATAGAAAAAAAAGGTATTTGCAATGCAAAAAACCCTTCCAAGAATCAGCTAAAGTCAAGACAGATCCATACCAATGGATCAGGAAATAATAACAGGTGAAAAAACCCATACTAAGAAGTACAAAACTTGGCCAGAGAAAAACAAAGGAGGAGGAAGAGAGAAAGGTTGGTACCTTTCGCGGAAGTAAGCGAGAGGAGCGAGGATAGAGAGAGCAATAAGATCACGGCAGACGCAGAATACTAGCTGGTTCACTCCTACGTTTAGTGCTACTTTTGTTATCACATGGTATCCTCCGTTAAACAGCTGAACAAACGCCATCGCACAATGCGCCATCCGGGCGTCTCTCTCCGCCGATCCGCCTCCCTCCATCATCATCTCTCTCGTTGACTCGCCCCTCTCTCTCTCTCTTTACTATGTTGAAGCGACTAGATCTTCGTTGACCCTAAGTATAAAGCTTGTCACGTGGCAAGCACGTGGGTCTATTATTAACATCTCCTAATAGCTGGGAATTCGGCTGCAACCGGAGCAAACCGACCCGACCAAACCAAAATTCCCGGTTTTTGGTTTGACATCCAATTGAAGCTAAAAACAATGGGAAAATTATAAAATTCAATTGGTTTTCGGTTTTGTTCAGTTTGAAAAGTAGGAACCGATCAGTTAAAATGAAATAGAAGACTTGCACCGAATTTTACCCAGCCGTTTTTTGGTTTTTTCGACAAACCAACTAAAAAAAAAACTAATTTCGGTTCAAATAGAATTATCGAATAACCCGACCCGGAAAAATCATACTAACCGAATGCCCCAGCTTCTGCACGAGTGGATATTTTGAAGTGAAGCCTCCAATACGACGCGTTTGGAGAGAGTGTTTCCATGTCCTTGATTCACCGCCGGTTGAATCGTTATGGATTGTCCTCTGTTAGCGCTAGGAACTCTCAGATACGAGAAGCAGTCAACCGAAATGATCCGACGGAATCACTTCTTCTATTCCAAGAAATGAAGCGCCAAGGGTTCGAACCCAACAACTTGACCTTCCCGTTCGTAGCCAAAGCGTGCGCTAAGCTCGCTGACATCACGTACGCCAAGATGGTTCATGCCCATGTTATAAAGTCCACATTTTGGTCTGACGTGTTCGTTGGGACCGCGACGGTTGATATGTTCGTGAAATGCAATCGTTTGGATTATGCATGTAAGGTGTTCGACGTAATGCCTGAGAGAGACGCCACCACTTGGAACGCGATGCTCTCTGGCTTTTGTCACTCGGGTCATTCAGATAAGGTGTTTTCTCTGTTTCGTGAGATGAGACTCGGAGAAATATCACCTGATTCAGTAACTGTCATGGCTTTGATTCAGTCTGCTTCGTGTGAGAAAAGTTTGAAGCTTTTGAAGGCTGTGCATGGGTTTGGGATACGTTTAGGTGTAGATATACAGGTTACAGTTGCTAACACTTGGGTTTCTAGTTACGCGAAATGTAATGATTTGGAGTCAGCAAAGTTAGTATTTCAAGGTATTGACAAAAGTGACAGAACCGTCGTGTCTTGGAACTCAATGTTCAAGGCATATGCAGTTTTTGGTGAAGTGTTTGATGCGTTTGGTCTTTACCAGTTGATGTTGTGTGAAGAGTTTAAGCCGGATTTGAGCACCTTTATTAACTTAGCAGCATCGTGTCAAACACTAATACAAGGAAAATTGATTCATTCTCAGGCAGTCCGCATTGGTACAGACCAAGATACAGAAGTGATCAACACCTTAATTTCCATGTATTCGAAATCAGGAGATATCAGCTCAGGGAGGCTTTTGTTTGACGTCATGTCGTCCAGAACATGTGTTTCTTGGACTGTGATGATAAGTGGGTACACCGAGAAAGGTGACATGGATGAAGCTTTGTCCTTGTTTCACGCCATGAACAAAACAGGAGTGAGTCCAGATCTAGTTACTTTACTCTCTCTCATTTCAGGTTGTGGAAGGTTCGGTTCATTAGAGATTGGAAGATGGGTAGATGCTAGAGCAGATACTTACGGATGCAAGAGAGACAACGTCATTGTCTGCAACGCTCTTATTGATATGTACTCAAAATGTGGAAGTATAACCGAAGCTCGAGACATCTTCGATACCATGTCTGAGAAAACCGTCGTCACGTGGACTACAATGATAGCTGGATATGCTTTAAACGGAATCTTCCACCAAGCTTTAGAACTTTTCAACGAGATGATAGATTTGGATTACAAACCAAACCACATAACGTTCCTTGCAGTTCTCCAAGCGTGTGCTCATTCAGGTTCCCTGGAGAAAGGGTGGGAGTATTTCCTCACAATGAAGGAACTATACAAGATCAATCCTGGACTAGAGCATTACTCTTGTATGGTAGATCTTCTTGGAAGAAAGGGGAAGCTCGAAGAAGCATTGGAACTCATCCGTAACATGTCATGTAAACCCGATGCAGGCATATGGGGTGCATTGCTTAGTGCCTGCAAGATCCACCGTAACGTGAAGGTGGCTGAGGAAGCGGCTGAATATCTTTTTAACTTGGAACCGGAAATTGCTGCGCCGTATGTAGAAATGGCGAACGTATATGCAGCTGCTGGTATGTGGGATGGATTTGCTAGGATTAGATCGATGATGAAAGCCAGGAATGTAAAGAAGTATCCTGGTGAAAGTGTGGTTCAGGTGGACGGGAAGAATCATACATTCACTGTGGGAGAACGTGACCATGCAGAACATGAGACGATATACCATGTTTTGAACTGTTTGAGCATGTTGGCAAGAGATGTGCATATGTTGCATAAAGATATGTTTACGAATCTGCCGTGATTAGGAATCTAATTATCAAACATTTGTTTAAATTAATTGAGAATTGTATATAAAGTGTTAAGATAATTCTGATTAGTGGAGGACCAGATTCTCATGGCCCTCACCACCAATATATTTTGCATTTTGACGTTTGTCAAATTAAAGGATAGAGACTTTTTCGCCACTAGGATAAGGTTTTTTTTTTTTTTGATCAAAAGGATAAGTTATTATATATTTACAGAAAGAAAAGATATTTGCCTTAAGCATGTCGTAGGACTCCGTGTCAATTGCGCGTTACCATGACGTAGACATTTTGATTATCATACTTCTATCCTTTTAGTTTTACATATTCTCATTTCAACTCGTTTACTTTTTAAAGTTTCTTAAACACCCAAATTAGAGCCACAAAAATAACACTCACACTAATCAAATTGTTGTTTATATTCATAACCATATAATCATCTTGTTTTCCGTCGATAGCATTTTTGAGTTCAGACACGATTGAATCGGAATGCTAAAGTGGTAACGCGTTAATCAAATTGTTGTATTCATAACCATATAATATGATAACAATACGAGGACTAAGAAGAGAATAAAAATATAATAAAGATGAAAATAAACTTAATTCAAAAAATGGTAACGCGTTAAACAATTAAATATCTTGACGCAGACGCTCAGCACGCCTCTCCATATATACAGACACAAGCGATCGTCTTCTTCTGTTCCAATTCGTTCCGAAACATTCTTCTCAATTCCTGTTGGTAAATATTCCTCAATTAATCGCACTCCTTTTATATGATCGTTCGTATATTAGCTTACTCAATCGAATCTACTCTGTTTTCTATTTCAATTTGTAAGATTGAATCGCGTTTCTTTATCTCTTCTTTGTGTATTTGGATCTATATCGATCATAAACAACCAAAACGAGATAACACCTGACTTTTAGACAACCAAAGTTATGATCTTTGACTCTGATGGGTTTAAAACTCTTGTAGGTTTTTAGAATCTGAGTTTAAAAAGGAAATGGGAGGAGGTAAAGACAAGCATCATGACGAGCAAGACAAAGGGTTTCATGGGTTTCCAGGAGGTGGACATCATTACCCACCCGCTCCTGGAGGTTACCCACCCGCTGGATACCCACCACAACAAGGGTATCCTCCAGCTGGAGGCTACCCACCTGCTGGTTACCCACCCGGTGCTTACCCTCCTGGACCTGGAGGTTATCCTCCTGCTCCAGGGCACGGTGGTTACCCTCCTGCAGGCTATCCTGCTCCTCACCACTCAGGTAAAAACTGTTTTCCCGGGTTAAAGAGCTCTCCTTTATAATTTGTGTCACGTTTTTGAAGACTAATAATTAGACAAGTAGTTAAAATGTTGATGTTTGCTAGGCTAAAATTAAAGACTGTCCTTGTAGTTTGCTAGAGTATCTACTTGTTAAGTACTGTTACGTGATAATAAGAACAATAGCTTGTTAATGTTTTTCTTTCTATGCAGAGTTGAAGGGTTTCCCTTGTAGTTTCTTATGTTTTCAGTCTCTCTTTAAGTTTGAATAATAGTAAAAGGATAGTGGTTTCAAATATGTTGCTAGTTTTTCCTGCTAATGCTAAGTTTTGTGAGTTCAGTTGTGATAGAATTGAACCTTTGAGGTGGTTTCAGAGTCCAAATTTGTTAGATGTTGATGTTTTAATTTAACAGTTTTACTTTATATTGACTGTTATTGTCATATGAACAGGTTTGTGGTCTTCTTCTCTCTGCATTTTGCTACTTTTCATGTTCTCCATTGTAACAACCTTTACTTTTGTTTCAACAGGACACTCTAGTGGTGGACTGGGAGGTATGATTGCTGGTGCAGCTGGTGCAGCCGCAGCAGCCTATGGAGCTCACCACGTTGGTCATGCATCACACAACCCTTACGGTCATGCAGGGCACGGAGGATTTGGCCACGTTGGCCATGCCTCTCATGGTTATGGTCATGGTGGTCATGGTAAATTCAAGCACGGAAAGCATGGAGGCAAACATGGAGGCAAGTTCAAGCATGGAAAGCACGGGAAACATGGTATGTTTGGAGGAGGAGGCAAATTCAAGAAGTGGAAGTAATCTGAAAATCCACCTTTGATTCTCTTCTCCAGTAGTCTCATTACCTGACCGATGTTTTCTAATAATCCCCTCTCAAAACTTTACATTTTAACTATATCGGTTCAGAGATCGCTGGTTCAGAGGAAATAAATGGAGAGTGGTAGTATAATGTAAAAATCTTGTGGCATCTGCAGAAGAGGTTTCTTCAACTCTTAATAGCAGATGCCCTGAAACTTATCTATAATTTGGTTTTATAATTGACATTTCTGTTTGTTTTGCTTCTTTTTTTATTCTAAATCTTTTAAGTTTGATGACTTGATGTTGGTTAAGTTTTCAAATTATAATATATGTTGTAGATACTGATATTGTATGTTTGATCTTTTTACTCTTTCATTTTTTTTTTTCAAATTATAGTATATTCGTGTAGAAGATCGGCATAGTCAAAGAAAACTTTCCTTTTCTGTATTTTGAGAAGATGCAAAGTCTCTGTTTAGGTTCCTTCTGTGTTCTAACTAAAGTAATGTCATAAGATTGTCTAGTTAGCGAATTGGAAATGGTACTCGAACTGATCGGCAACAGGAGCCCCTTCTTCCTATTCAACATCATCTTTATCAGCCTTTGCTTCCTGCCTCATTTGTTCCTTAGATTGATTTATTGTCAAAGCATCCATGGAGGCAGCTGTTTCATACTAGAATATCTATTTTCCAGTTTCGGCATCTTATTTTCTATCACCAAGGTTAACCTCAAATTAACCATATACAAGTTGTAAGACATCAAACCAACCACAATGAAGGAGAGCAAGGCAGGGAAAACTTGACAACGGACTTTGAGCAAACAAGAAATCACAACACATATTTGATTCATGTAGAATAACAATAACTATGTAAAGACATGTAGATTGCATGGGATGAACATATGTATACAAATTATTTTTATATTTTATTATTTATTTTATGCTATTTATGTATTATATTAGTAAATAATAAATATATTAGATAATTGAGAATCGAGTAAATATTATATATATATATATATATATATATATATATATATATATATATAAGTAAACTAGAGTAAGCAAACAATCAAAGTCAACAAATTAAAGCAATCATTTTATTTATTTCACATGGTATATAATTACATTTAAATAATATTGACATAGATATATATTAAATTTTTCTTATGAATATTTAATTAAAGCTTCCTAGTTCCGATGCATATGATTTTATTAACATTTATATATTTGCGGTAACAAAAATATTTAAATCATTATTAAAAAAAATTTAATGTGAAATTTTTAGTAGGTCTAGTAATTTATAATCGTTTAGAGAAAAATAATGCATACTAGAAAATTAAAATATTCAAGTCTCAATGTCATTTCGATGCAAATTTCAAAATTAACATATTTTTTATTTTAATATGGTATATAATATAATTTACACGATATTAATATATATATATATATATATATATATATATGCACACAAATTGAATATCTATTATATGATACTTCATATTCAAATTATTTTAGATAAATTTTCAAAAAATTAACATTCTTAGTACCTTTTTCATTTACATTAACCATTTTTTGGAGGGTAAGATTTAGAATTTTAATAAAAATATAAATAAATAGTTAAAATGAAAAAAAATTAAAATAGTTTCAAAAAGAATTTTTGAATTTCAAATTGAAAATCTAAAAAAAAAATACAAATCAAAAAATTAAAAAAGTTTCAAAAAGAATTTTTGAATTTCAAATTGAAAATCTAAAAAAAAAATACAAATCAAAAAATATTTTTTGAATTTGCAAAAGTAAAATTCGAAAAATATTAAAAAATTGTTTTTTTCTAATTTTTTATTTATTTAAATAATTATTTAAATTTATTAATCAAATGAATAAATGTCCTTTTCTCCTCAATGGAATTTTATGTTTAGGTATTTTTGAAAATATCCATTTAGAGCAAATAAATATGAAACATTGTACCAAATGAAAAGTAAAGTGAAATTCCTCCATGATTTTATGAAAATTTGTATATAAAATAAAATAAAATCATTGTTCATAATATTTTTAATGTAAGACTTTTATAACTTTAAGTAATTTATAGTCTAAAAATTCAAATATAATATATAAAAGAAAGAAAACTAGATTTTTATTATATGGTTAAGGTGATTGTTATTTTTTAATAATGTAAATTAAAAAAATGATGGATATTACAAACACTATTATCAAATCTTTATTATTAAAATGATTAATTGTTATATATGTGTTAATCATATTATGTACTTTTGTAGTTTTATTTACTAAAAATAGAGAATATTCTTTTATACACTAATAATCACTAAAAAATATAATTTATATAGATAGATCAACTTATATTTTCTAAATATTTTAATAATCATCCTAATGATAACATGCAGTTATACTCATATGTTTTGGTGTTCCTTGATCAATTTATAAAGGATAAAACCATTTCTTTGAATATACGGAAAATGGAGAAACAAAGGTGAAAAGCCATTTTCTCATTACCTCTTGAAAGGATCAACTTTAAGAAAGGACATATATATGACCAACAACTTCATTGACAATCTCTATGTTAGTACTAGTTTTTCAGTTTCTATGCCTATCTAGATTAGCAAAGTTTAGAGTAGCTTACCATACTACTTCCTGTTTCAACATAACAAATGATTTGTTTTTCTTTTGGGGCTAAAAGCGTAAGTATTAAGTTCATATTTTTTAATTTTTATATAAAATTATTGCTTCAGTTTATATGCATATTTAGATTAGCAAAGTTTAGAGTAGCTTACCATACTACTTCCTATGTCAATATAACAAATGATTTGTTTTTTTTTTTCGGGGCTAAAACCGTAAGTATTAAGTTCATATTTATTATTATTTTTATAGAAAATTATTGATTAATGCTCAATTTAAAAAATTCAATTCATATAGTATGAACGGTTGTAGAATAAAAAAGTCACAACATATTAAGTATAAAATTTATATAGAAATTTTAAAAGTCAAAGAAAATGAAATAAAACAACCTAAAAACATTTTTATGGTAGGATAAAGGAAGTATATATAAGAAAAAAAAATTCAGTTTATTATGGAAGTTATTTTGGTCCATTGGTTTAATCAATGGCCTATTAATGATTTTATATTAGAAAATCTAAGTTTTAATTTCCGTAAAACGGAATATTGGAGAAAACATTTACAAGAAATATTTTTTTAGCATGGCGTAAAATGTATCATTAGAAACACATTTCATAAGGTGGTCGGAGGAACATACAGTCAAATGTAAAACTCTACTAGACAGAATAAAGTTATCGACTGCTAATAACATATACATATATATATATAATGTTTTTTTTTTTAGTTTTGTAATAGTATAATTAACCATGTAAAAAAAAAGAGGGGTTTCTTCATGGAATCAATCCACGATGTTGTATACCCCTACGAAAGGATCCACTTCTTTTCGTGATGAAGTTACCGGAAGACGGAAGACGGTTGAAGAGAGAAAGAGTATATAAATATCCTAACTCCGTGAAAATCTATATTCATTTTTCTCATTACTTTCATCGCAAATCTCTTGATTTATATCTGGGAGAGTCTAATCAATCTGAAATCAATGACTGACGAATTACGAAGAGGTTTTCAAGACATCAACTTGGGACCATCTGATGCTCCTTTTGTGTTACCTACGGAGGTGGTCAGACAAGCAGAGGAGGATAATCGTTTCATCATCATTGGAAGACTGGTGATGCCACGAAGACAAAATTTACGGGCAATCGTGGCTTCAATGCCTCGCATTTGGGGTTTAGAAGGTATTGTTAGAGGAAGACCAATGGAAGGGAGATGGTTTCAGTTTGTTTTTCCTTCTGAGGAAGCTATGGAGACGGTTATCCGGAGAGGTCCTTGGGCTTATGCTGAGCTGATGTTGGTGCTGCCAAGGTGGACTCCTCTGATGGATATAGAGATGCTTAATTTCATACCGTTTTGGATCCAAGTTCGTTGTATCCCCCTCCAGTGTATGAATCGTGAAGTGATTGTTCATAATGCACGAGCAATGGGGCAGTATATCCAGATGGATTATAATGAGGAAACTGGTGGGAGATTGAAGTTTGTTAGAATCAGACTGTATTCAAATGTGGCTCACCCCCTGAAGTTCCGGAGAAACTTTCAATTCTCTCTTGGTGTTAACACTCTTCTAAAGTTTCATTATGAGAGACTTAGGGGCTTTTGTGAGGTATGTGGAATGCTCACTCATGACACGGGTGCTTGTGTCATTAATAATGGAGGAGTTGGGCCAGAGGATGGGAATGATGAGAGTGGGAATGAAGATGATGAAAAGGAGGTGGTTCCAAACCAGGGTATTATTATCGAGGAAATTAATGAGGAAGAGGCTGCTGAACCGGAGGATGTGGCTCCAGAAGAAACTGAAGACCCTGTTCAAGCAGAGTATGAGAGAAACATTGCAGCCCGGGAGAAATAAAATGATGATGAGGAGTTATGGAGTGGCTCGGCAAAACAGACAATGTTCTCGGAAGATTTGAACCAGGAAGAGATGTTTAATCCCATTTATCCATTTGGAATCCGTAATGGTTTTGATCCAGTCCACAAGAGGAAAGCATGGATGAGAGAATTTGATGGCAATGTTACTAAATTTGTTGTTGGAGAATCTAGTAGAAGAAGTGAGGTGAAACGTATCAGGAGAAACAATCAGGGTTTAGTTGAGAATTCAGAGGAGGACAAAAATGGAAAGAGAGACGCAGTGGGCTCAGAACCACCACTGCCACCATGAGGTTAATCAGTTGGAACTGTCAAGGTTTAGGCAGTGACTCCTACATCTCTGACATCATTTGCCTGTCAGAAACAAAGCAGCAGGATGACTATGTCAAAGATGTGGGAGCTCAGTTCGGGTATCTACATTCGGTGATTGTAACTCCTGTTGGCATAGGTGGTGGCTTAGTTATCTTTTATAAGCCTCATGTTCAGCTTTTGGTTCTTATTTGTACTTCTAATTTGGTTGATTGTAAAGTTTTTTGCAATCAATATCAGTTCTTCTTTTCGTTTGTTTATGGTCACCCCAATCAAGCTTATAGAAATCATACATGGGAGAAACTAATGATAATTGGTATAAATAGAAGAACAGAAACATGGTTTGCTCTTGGTGACTTTAATGAGATAGTTGGTAACCATGAGAAGATAGGAGGAAGAACAAGACCAGAAATCTTGTTCCATGATTTTCGAAATATGATGAGAGCATGTGAATTTACTGATTTACAGACTCTAGGTGATCGGTTTTCCTGGGCTGAACAGAGAGGAATTCATCTTGTCAGGTGCTGTTTAGATCGTACAATGGCAAATGGAAGTTGGTTTGATTTGTTTCCAGTCTCCCATACTGAATATCTTGAAACAGGAGAATCAGATCATCATCCTATGGTAACTTTTATGTCAACACAAAGAGAAGAGCCTCACAAAATGTTTATATATGACAACTGTATGTTGAATAAAGATGGTTTCAAGAGTACTGTGACCAGAGGGAGGAATGGTATGGGACAAGCTCAACTAGTAAGGGTGCCACTTGCTCAGAGGATAAGTAGATGTCGTCAGCATATATCTCGATGGAAACGCTTAAACAGAAATAATGCAGAAGAAAAGATAAGCTTATTACGACGCAAACTTGATACAACTTATATCTCTAGCAATGTTTCAGTGGGGAAAAAGTACTCTCAAAGATGATCTTAACCAAGCTTACTTGGAAGAAGAGATTTATTGGAAGCAGAAAAGTAGAATTAAGTGGTTACGATCAGGTGACAGGAACACTAGCTACTTGCACGTGATTACAAAGGCTAAAAAGATCAGGAGTACCATTAACTCTATTCAGGATGATCAAGGAGTTATTCATAAAAGCCGTAAGGAAGTTGCAGATATTGCTATACAGTACTTCGAAAATCTGTATGCTTCTGAAGAGACTAGTACTGCTTTATATACTGAGGTTTTTC